TTTTTTTTATAGTTTTTCATTTCTCGATGCGTCCTTAATGTGTCGGAATATACCGCGTTTACCCTACCACATTGAATACATCTCATGATTTAATAATATATTGATGATTGACCCAATTTAGCCCTTTTCTTGAAATTTATCATGGTCTTTAAATTCCACCTAATAAATAAAATGACTGTGGCCAAATCTACTGAAGAGAATGTTTACCTTTCAGTTTCAAGCTGCTACTATAGCTTTCCTGCCATTTTTATAGCCTAACTGCTGGATTTCCATTAGATTAATTAGAATTAGGCTAACCCTATCTAATTGTTAAGAACCTCTGGCCAAACCAAAAAGTGTAAAACTGGTCTGCAAGATTTAAAATGTATAGTGTATCACTAAGTCACTTAGTCTATTAAGTAGGAAAATTTCAAATTCCCATGCGGATTGCCGACTGCTAATCTTGAATTTTGGACAGTATTTTCCTAAAACTAAAAGTAGAGCTAAAAACTATTGTTTCATAGGTGATTTTAAAAAAGGCCATTTTCTTCATTTTTACATGAAAAAATAGAAAAATGATTCAGAGATATGGTAAATGCACCATATTCTGACACTGTGGGTAATTCTGACACCCCTCAACTTTTTCCTTTAGATTAAGCTTGGTCTTAGTTCCACGCATGCGTACGGTAGATGGTTGAAATAGCGACGTCATACTATTGGGCGCCAAATTTCCGCAAAACACTAGGTCTAGATCTGTTAAGATCTGCAGAGCAAAAGTTCAAGTCAACTAGTGAGAACATTGAAACACATATGAAAGTTAATAGTTGACCTTGCTTTACTAGTAAATAGTGATAAACTGTTTGTGTAGAAAGAATATTATGGTTTGAGACTTTTAAATTAGTTGGTAAATATATTAGGAATCCTTTAAGTATACTTGTATTTGCTGATTTTAAGTGGTAAATAAATTAGTAGATGATTGATTTAAGAGATGGTTTAGAAACATAAAAAACTAATTCCGACACAGGGTGTCGTTTACTGTCGTATTCCGACACAGCTCACACAGGGTGTCGGAATTCCCACACAGGGTGTCGGTATTATGAATTATGATTTTGAAGCGCTGTTGGAATTAGTCCCACAATATGCTGCATTTAGTCACACACAGTGTCAGAATTCAGCGATTTTGTAGATTTGAATTCTAAAGGATTTTAAATAAATATGGCAACAGTTTGTGACGTTTCATCATTGCTGGCGCATAGTGTGGTGTTTTGAGAGTGACATAAACCAATCAGAACTCAAGTTGCGCATACGGTGATCTATTTATAGTCATTTATTTCTTGCTACGTCCTTAAGGTGTCGGAATATGGTGTGTTTACCCTACAGGTGAAATTGCCAGAGTTAAAAACTTGGAAGAAACTAATTGTGAATCAGTTTGTTCGATGATTTGTACACAACACGTGCAGCTGACATGGCTCCCAGCAATGCATTTTTCCACCCAGATCTGGGTTTTTTGAGCCTCTTCTGGGTTTCTAGTGTAAATTTTTTAATATATTCAAAATCTGGGTGTTTTGTCTGTCTGTGGGGGAAGGATGGGTGCTATATGAATATTATGTGTATGGGGGGTGCTAGGAATTCACTGGGGAGCCAAGGTGCGCCTGCCTGCAAAATTTTTGGCAACCACTGCTCTAGATTAATAAGAATTTTTGATGATTATCTATTCATTTCAGGTGGGATGATGCAGTCACAGCTGTCATCTGGAATGCAGCAACATAACATGAACCAAAACACAAATATGGTGAGCATGGGCCAGCAAGGGATGGTGAACACCATGTCTACAATGACTGCCAACAGCAATGGCAATGACATGATGAATAACATGATGGGTAACATGATGGGTTCATTGCAGCCTCCCCCTCCTCCTCCTGTCAACCCAGCAACCAATGATGCACCTCTTGACTTCAATGTTAACAGGAACAAGGCGCCTGCACCAATTCCCTTGCATTCAGGTATTGTATTTATTCTTATAGTATTAAATCTCTTCATACTTGATAGAGATCCCCTTGCACACAGGTACCAAACATTACCCCCCAATGATTTTCTTATTTATGTGATAGCATATTGTTCTATTTGAGATGTCTTATGGCTCTTTGTAAACTTTACAATTTGACAACTAGCTCTTGATTCACTTCCTTGGTCTTAGAATTTGATTTGTTAACTATCAATACATTGATTTTAATATTCATGAAATATGTCATCCTGAATTCTAGGTTCTGAGAGATAGTTTTCAATTATGCAACCAGCCTGAATTAATGTTGAGATACTTTGCAGCGTAGTGCGTTCAAATTGCCTTCTCATTTACATGATATTTTTGCAGGCAATGGAATGCAAGACAACATGACAAATTTTTTGAATAATCTGTTAAAATTTCTTCTTTTATTGTTATCAAGTTGTTCCAGTTTAACATTAGTCATGAATTATTATCGAGATACCTTGCAGCGTAGTGCGTTCAAATTGCCTCCTCATTTACATGATATTTTTGCAGGCAACGGAATGCAAGACAACATGACGAGCTCCGACATGAACCTGGTGAGCAGCAACGGTGATGGTCAGGAGGACAGCAAAGACGGTGTACTGAGCGGTACCAGCCGTCGGGACCGAGACCGTGATGGTTCCCGTGGACGCGATCGTGACCGTGATGGCCGGGACCGTCAGAGGGGTGGTCGTGGCAGGGACCGGGATAGAGACCGTGACAGGTTTGTTCATTCGGTTATATGGGTTATCAAGCATTCAGAAGCAAGGAAAATTTCAAATTAGTTCACCATATATTCATTAAAAGCGTTTTGGAGACCTGCTCCATCATCAGTTCAACAAATTTTAGAGTGTAATTATATGTATATATTTTTATAATTATGATATGGTGAATTTATTTGGCATTTTTTGCTGTTATAATTCTTGGTAAAATTTGTTATTTAAGCAAACTAATGGTATGAGTTATGGGTGATGTTGTGTCTGTCAGCATATCCATCCTTCAAATAATTGTTTCTTGTCATACTTGCCTTAGCAACTGATTATTTGTGCAGGTTAATGTACTAAAAAATGTGTGCAATATGAATTTAATGTAATAAATGATAAATGTGTGCTTGGTTTATCTCAATGACCTTTATCTAATCCTCATTAAAAATGTCATCTTGTATTCTTGCTTGCTTTGTGTTGAACTCTGATCAATTCTTCAGGAATATCCTGTGCTGTACAACATAATCATCCTAATATTATGTGTTGCACCTTTTCATCTCTGAATGAATATCATAATGTTTTGATATCATAATCCTAATATTAACTGTCACAATGCATATAATCATTCCCTGTTACCCAGGTCTGGAGGCCGCAGCCGCGTGTCTCGTGACAGGGACAGCAGCCCTGGGCGCAGAGATGGACGACGACGCGACTCTGTCAACACCAGGACTGATGCCGCTGCCATGGATCAGTGTGAGTTGCCATTTCTTGATTTTTACAACACTTCGCTTCAACTTCACTTCTTGTTTGTCTGCTACAAATTTTATAATCAATATTTAACACACTTCTAATTGTCTAATTGATCTGAAATTTTGTGTTCTAGCGTAAAGTTGGAGAAAATGCTTGAATTGATTGGCAGAATAAATAATAAAGAAAATTTTTGTAAGTATTAAAGAAAATTAAAGATACTTTTTTTAATACACAAAGATAAAATTAAAAATTCACTATACATGTGTAACATCGGAGACACTAGCCTCTTTAGAAGTGTTGTCTACAGAAAGTAATTTTTAAACGCATATTATTCTCTACTTTGAATGTAATTTTTAGCATTCCAATGTCTTATGAGTAGTATGGTCGTGACGTGTACGTCGTGTGAACAGACTAACATTGCATTTGGCTCTACAAATCAGTGACAATCTATTCCGAGCCCCTTAATATTCTTTTATTTATTGACGTTTTAGCTAGCAAATTCGTGTTGATTTATTCAAGAACTTGTGTAAGAATTTGCGTTCAGTTAACTCATTGTATGCATGATGGAAGGTCATTACCAAACACAGTATGCATAATTTAATGTTTTGGGATGTCACATCAGTGAAAGTCTTATGTGGGTTTTGGTTAGAATATTTTTATTCTCAAAATATTCGGTTAAAATAATTCTGGGATGCAATGCTTCATGATGGAGGGAAAATCTTGATGTTACTTGAGTCCAATGGTTGAAAAATGACTAAATGTTTTTCCTGAAATTTGCAGACGCTCCTGGCAATGCAGTTATGACGGGTACGGGTATGGACGGACAGCAACAACAACAACTTCAACAGCAGCAATACGCTCAGATGGCCGGTAACCCTTGGGGCATGTGGAACCCTATGGGCCAGCCCATGGCTGGGCCAATGGGACCTATGGGGCCCATGACACAAATGGCTGGGATGACTGGAATGACTGGAACTGTCGGGCCCATGGGACCCATGGCTCCTATGGGGCAAATGGCGGGCCCTATGCTTACTGGAGAAGTGCAACCGGTACGCCATGTTTTTTTCTTGCCCAATTTAAGCTGTTATAAAATATTAGGGAACAGAATTAAATTCGGCATCTCGAAACTATCTTATCTCTTGACTTTTAACCATAGGTACAATAGCAACCACAGATGAGGCATCGGAACTTGAATATTGTTATATATATTTAATAATTTAAAATACAAAAAATAGTATTTTAGCTAAGAAATAGGTCTGAAAATTTTGCGAAAAAATTTGAAATTTTTTTATAGTAGTGCTCCTATCTTCCATCTGAAGCTTTTTGATACAATGGTACTAAGTATGTTTCTTCTATATACAATGTATCCAGCTGTGTATGTTTCGATAGGTTGTTGTGTAGCTGGTAATGCCAACTGTAATTGTGTTGATAATGATTTATAATCTCAATGGGGATTGACAAAGGAACTTTCCATCCATCAATAATTTTGACGTTTTACTGAATTGATGAATTTAAATCTTACTTTTCCTTACTTCCATCAACTTCTTTGGTAAGTTTCATGATTAAGAAATATTTTGGTTAAATGACTCTGGATAGCATCGCATATTTTGTTAACAAATCAAAGAATGTTTCCAGACGGGTGACTTCCGCATCACATGGGGCATGTTTGGTTGGATGATGTCGCCCGAAGGTCTGACAGTGCCTATCAAGAACCAGCTCGTGTGCAAGGAAGTGACGCTTGTGCCGCCCAATAGACTTGCACCTCCGCCCACCACCAGGGAGCGACCGCTCGGCTGCAGAACTGTCTTCGTGGGGGGCTTGCCAGAGAATGTCACAGGTGACGATTCACTTTACCTGGCAATATTTTAAAATTATAAAAATAGGGTATGAATAGTAATGATATTTTTATGTGCATGGTAATTCTTTAGAATTGACTTTCACAAGAGCACTTTTGAGTTGACATAATTGCTAAATGCTAAGAACGTTTATTTCTTTAATTTAAAATGAAATTCTACGGATTTATATTACAGATGCTTATTTTGATTTGATGGAAGTTCTTGAAGTATTTTCCCATTCATATATAATTCTGTTATTGCTGTGTTGTGACTTAACTTTTGACGAGCAAAAATGTTTAGTGCTGTGATAATAGTGCAGTGGCATCAATGCAATTTTAAAAGCGGAATTAATATGAGTGTAAATCTAACAAGATTTTCTATTGAAATTTGTATGTGTTTGCAGAGGAGATGGTCGTAGACGTTTTTGAGCGCTGTGGAGAAATCACCACTGTGCGTCTGAGCAAGAAGAACTTTGCTCACATCAGATATGAGCTTGAGGAATATGTTGAGAACGCTATTTTCCTGTCTGGTGAGTTATGTTACTGAGAGTAGATTTCGAGGTAAGTGGGTTTAGCTACGGGATGATTCTATTAATACTAGTGGGCCTCATCAGCAGCATGATACTAGTGGTTTCATAAACGGCACTAATTGCCTGCAATATGGCTTCTAATTATTTATCTTTAACAATCCGGTGCGTTTATTAACGTAAGTATCGTTTTAACGTAGGTTTTTGTGGCAAACTCTGAGTTTTCAATGAGCAATTCAAGATCCCTTGGCACCCAGCAATTAGTAAGAACAGTGCTCAAATGATTTTACATATACAGTAGTTTCCTTAATTGTGCTTTTGTTATACTTTAGTACCCAAATAACTTCAGGGATCCCCCTCATTAGTAAAAACTTGACTGTAACTTGCAATAAGACACGGTTTTCTGTGTTTAGTAATAATTTTAGATGAAAACTCAACTGCAACTGGCGGAACATGCACTGTTTCTGGGGAGCATATTGCGTTTTGGAAAACTTTTTATTTAGAACCAGTAGTCCACAAATTTTGTTTGGTTAACGTGTGAGTTTAATTCTCTATTAATTATTAATTTTATAATTGAAATGGTTGGTTAAGGGTTGACCAAACGGTTGACCATTTCAAGGAGCAATAGTTTGCACTTGATTGCTACTTTTGCGCTGCACTTGTACCTATATTATATAAGAAGCACAAAAAACGTGCAAAAGAAGATTCAGTGCCGTCCAAAATGTGCTGCGGGAGTGGAGGTACAATAGACAGTGATGACATTATTACAGTGATATTATCTCACCACTGTCTCTTATATTATTAATATCACTGTCTCAAGAGACAGTGATATTACAAGAGACAGTGATGACCCTATTATCCATAAATAATAACGTTGATGTATTGCCCGAATATGAATGGAAGTGTTCACCTTATCTCTGCTAGTATTCATAGATAATTACATTGATCTGTATTGTATAGGTACGAGTGGGAGTGCCGTCAGCGCGCCCTGCAGCGGGAGCAGCGACACAGAGAGCGCGTTGAGGCTGAGCGGCTGCGGCCACCTTCACCTCCCCCGGTGCCGCACTACACCGAGCACGAGGCTACCATCGTCGCTGAGCACCTCAAAGGGGAAGATGGTTCGTGTGATGAGAATAGGGCTGGACCCAAGGGCAGGGACATGCTTTAACAATACTCATGCTTCTAGAATCTGTTGCACTAGGCTGTATTATGCTGAATATTTTTGAAAGTGTATGTACTATTTGGTGTATTTGGGCTACTACATGTACTGATGTGTGTCTTGAAAGTAAGTTATTCTTTCAGGTAGAGTTGTGTTTAAATACAATATTTATGTTAGTAAACTGGTTAGAATGCACCAGACAATTTTATTGGGGAGATGAGTTTCTTCCGCTGCAACGTCTCGTGCTGATAGCCTTAGTCCTCCAATGCAATAGCCTTGAGATTCATTTGATTTTTCATTTAGTGTCTAGCATGATCAAATAAATCTAAAACAGAGTCAACATATTTTGTGCTTATCGTGTGATATGTGGGTTGTGGTGCAAATGGGATTGGCTGAATCCACAGAAATAAACCCATGTATCTAAAATTATTATTTTTTGAACATCTTCCTCATCTTTTGTTTGTGATGTAAAAATATTTTAATTCGTTGTTCAATTACTGTAGTTCTGATTTTCAACATTGTTAGCTACAGACATATGAGAACATCTTCAGGTTACTGTTTCTGTTAAAGTGAGAGTATTTTTGTTTGTGTGCAGGAAATGTGCCAGGCTTGGACACGTTCACTAAAGCTGCCACGACACTGATAACCTGGCTTGAGCGCGGCGACTGCAGCAAGCGCAATACAGGCACCTTCTACAGCATGATCCAGAGCACCAGCAGCCAAGTCCGTCGCCTCAGCGCCGAGAAGATGCAATACGAAGAGGAACTCGCCAAATTCCGCGAGCAGACTCGTGCCAGGATGCAAGGCATCGTCGCTCAGTGTGAGTACATCTTTTCCAGAGCGTGGACCACCGGAAACACTCCAATGCTCCGCCTCCTTTTGATATTGAGGTGCTAGATATGTGATTGTCCGGTAAGCTGTGTGAGGGTTCGTGGGAAGTATAGTTAGGGTTCGTGGGAAGTATAGTTATATCAAGAGGGTAAGAATTTTTCATACAACTCGAATGTTTATGTGCGGAACCATTTTAGATCCCGGTTGCCTTGTATCAAGAGGGTAAAAATTATTTATACAACTCGAATATTTATACGTGGAACTGTTTTAGATCCTGCTTGCCTATGTACCTTCTGATTTGAATGCATATTTTTATGTTCAGGTTTCGAACATTTTAATTGAAAAGCATTTCGAGGGAAATCATTGTAATGGCTAATTAAGGGTCAACTGAAAATATCAAGCAAAGCTGAGAGAAGTGTAGGTATGTATTGGAGATGTGACTGCTCCTTCTTCAGTTGAAAATTATTTATGCAAGAATGTTCCAGCCTCTTGTTTAGGTGACCAAATGGGATTTATCAAGAAGTGTAAGTGATTTTACATTTGAAATCTGATGATTTTTTCTTCATGGGCTATTTTGATCTATTCTCCCCTCAATAGAGCAGATCGGAAATAAATTGTGCAATAAATCGGGCTAATATTTTTTGTACACATCAGATTGCTACAAGTCTGTAGGGGCATGCATAGACCAACATTTGTGTTGCGTCAGATGAATGCATTACACTCATCTTTTAATGATTCCTTTGTCTCCTCCAATAACTTAAGAAGTGTTCCAATTCCCCAACTGAGTAAGTAATTTTGTAATATTAAAAGTTATGCAGGGTATTGGAATGTGTCCTACAGTCGCTAGCCAGTGGAGACAGCAACAGCGAAATTCGGTTGTTCTTAGCAAATGCGAGAATAATTTGCTTCTGTTAATGATCTAAACATTCTTCTTCGCGCGTTAAATTTACATGTAAAACTTGAATACACGGTATTATTGCCTATTAAAGCTATAGTGAACTTATCAATTGGTAAAATAACATTTCAACTTTGAGCGCCATGTTAGTTCATTAATTTTTTTTGGAACTTTCGGGTCCCATCGTAATTGAACTAATATATTTAAACTGTTTCCAATATATTGGATGCCTGTTGTAAATGAGATCATGAGTAAATAAATGATACCCTTTAGACTCACAATAGGGTTATTTGCTTTCATGTTTGTAACCGTGCTTGCTTTCCTCATTATCGCATGTCGGCGCAGAAGAATGTCATATTTCTATATAACCGCTTACTGGCATCTCTAAGCTCGACATCCAAAGCTGGCTATTGTGCACTCGCCGTCGGCAAGTTCAGTATCACCGCTCACTTTAAGCCAAGTCATAAATAGTGTGTTATTATTTTCAAAATGTCAGAAGCAAAGAAGAAGAATTTCTCACAGGTTCATCGTCGCGTGGCACCCGCAGACGTTGAGGGTTCTTATAATGCCTTAGTTTGTACATTTATAGTGGCTGCTCTTGTGGAAGCTCGATTCTGCTAACATTTGTAAGCCTTCAATGCCACTGGAGTCTGCAGGCCTCTTTATCGTTGGGCGCATCATCTTCATTTGATCATGTAAGCTTGTAAGAAATGTGAGGCAACACGTCACGGAAAGATGGTGGACATGTTCCCTCTTGCATCGCGAGGCCTTCAATGTTTGACCCATGGTGTGTTTCTCGCTCTAGTCAGTCAGATCGAGAAGGTGTTCTCTGCGTGCAGTCAACAGAAGGTCTGGGATCACTTCACCAAGGCTCAGAGGCGCAACATTGACATGTGGAAGAAACAGGCGCAAGTAAGTCTCGGTGCTGCAGCCTCTGAACCAAACTCCTCCTCGTTATGTTGATCGTTTCAACACCGGCGCATGGTGGCAAACGAGAGAACTTTTTCTTTGACCTTACCTCTGAGTCCTGCGATTAAACCTATAGTATCGCGAATGCTACCTGCATTAACATATATATTCATAAGATTTTGTATGAAATATTGAAGTAGATCATGAAATAAGAATGAAATCTATTCTGAAAAGTCTCTCATTTGCCGTTATGATCTTGTCATAAAGTTTACTGGGGGATGACATTTGCCATTAGCTTTGGCAGATCAAAACCTCAACATTGCTTGTAAGAGGTTAAATGCGGAGTCATGTTTTCAGTCATTTATGGTGGAGTTTGGTGCAAAGGCTTCATAACTTTTTTGTGCCTCTCCTCATGAATTTGTATGGGATAGGAATTTTAATTTTGTTTCGCAGTAATTGAAAATAAAAACTTTTTCAGAATAACTTATGCCATGCGTCTGTAAAGCTAAGCCAAGCTCCCTTGTAGAAATGGTCATAAAATATCGTCGAAGGTAAGGTCAAAAGGCTGCTTGGCGCGTGGTAAGTGTACAATGAACTGCTCATCAGTACTAGTCTCTGAATAAAGAAATTGATCTTCGTTTCAGCAGTGGTAACGCGCTTTGTGCGTAGCAACTCGTACGCTGTCTAGAGATTTATTATAAAATTTACTAACGCCAACCGCGTTCTCATTTGAAGTATTAGTTCAGTGTGGTCAGAAATTCCCTCTGGTGCAAATTTATGCTTCAGAAAATGAATGTTATTTGGCTGCAGCTAAGATTGTAGGAAAATTTTTTCTGACTTTGACGAGTGTTATTTCTTACAATAAGCTTATAAACAAGATTAATTACAAATGAAATTGTAGAGCTTACAATATGTTTTAATTTTTGGGACAAATATTAGTCTTGGGTGTGAATGGACAGTTGGCATGGTCCTTGAGGTCAAGAGTAATAAGTACGTTGGTATTCACGATGGTATTGTTATATCTTTACATGTTCGACATTCTTATTCAATGTTGTGTGCTAGTTTTTAATCTACTGAAGTTTTAACTTCAATCGCGTGTAAGTCAACATAAACGTAGGTATGTACATGAGGTACATACATTGGAACCTATGTACATGAAGTACACAAGTTCTATATCTACAGCCGTTAGGCATCGTGTAGGTGACAGTTATTGACGGCTTAAGTGATCATGAATACATCGACTTATTACCTAGTTTCGATAGGTCATAGTATAAGTAAATTATTCCTTTATTCCATTTGTATTTTATGTTGCAATTTTGGATTTTTCAAGTCCCGCAGTTGACAATTATTTAAACTGATGGGTAATGCCATGTTCATCTCTGTCCTGCCAATGTTTCAACATTGGAAGTTGTACCCTCACTTTGAATGAGCTTCCACGCACGCAAAATCATTCTGTATTCTGTCACAGTTTTAGCACGGTTTCGTATTTTCATCTACTCGCCTTTGAATTTCTCCAAGAAGTCGCTGAATTAGTGGCTTCAATTCTCCACGCTTTATTTCTGTTACTGTAATGTTATGTCCGCGTTTTCAGGAGGTGAAACGCATCCAACTAGACGACTCAGACCGCGAGGATGCCGAGGAGATGGAAGTTTCTGATGACGAAGGCAGCGCCTCTTCCTCGTCGAAGGGCATGAAGGCCATGAAAAAGTCCACCGCCAACGATGCTCTCAAGGTCAGTAATCGTGTCATGTCAGTAATCGTGTCATGCAGTAAACGTGTCAGTATTAATCATGTCAAGATCAGTTATCGTGTCAATTTTAGATGGTGATCTATGAAATCGCTCGGAATTAACCAGCTGCAAAGTCATCATCTTTGAACTTTGTTTGAATTGAGACACGAATGAAACTTTATGTGAACTGTCCTGTATTTGCTTATAAATTGGTCTCCTGGCGGAATAATTGCAAATATTTTTGATAATAGGTTATTTTCTCACGTTTGAAAAAATTTTTGACATCTACTGACGTGACCATGTTTTTATTTTGGTCTTGAGTGCGCTATTGTACTCTCGTACACAAGCGTATTGTGTACTCTCGTACACAAGCGCACACATTTTATACATACCGGTAGTAATTTTTGTAAATTACTGAATGGTGTCGTTGCAGGAAGAGAACGACAGTTTGCGCTGTCAGCTGGAGGCATACAAGAACGAGGTGGACATGGTCAAGGTGGACCTCAAGGCTGATCTCAACGCCAAGGAGGAGCAAATAAACACTTACAAGCAGACGCTGCAGGGCATGCAACAGGTGATTTCAACTTATATTACCTTTCTCGCAAGCTTTACTATCTAGCATTATTATTTGTCTATCTTATTCAATTTTTCCCAGGAGTAGGAATCAACCTTGTTTTTCACGCCTTGTGAATACTCTCGTAGCACAAGTTTTCCTCAGTTTAGTCTTGTATATTTATCTTTGCATAAAGTTGGCTTGAAGTTCAGTCTTGTAGAATTTCAATTTCAACCATCCAATGTCTATGCGCAACATTTTTCTTTCTTTCAAATTGCTATTATGATTGAGTAAATATTAGCACAAATGTATATCAGGTATTATTACACAATTGATTAGAAACTGAGAAATTACCATACTGAAGTCTTAAACGTACTGCAATGTTCCAGAGTCTGACCGACAACGTGGTGCGTAAACGTAAAGACGAAGCGCGGATACAAGAGCTTCAGAGCAAGCTGGTCCGCCTTCAGGAGACGCTGCGGCAGCTCAAGAAGGAGAAAAGTTCTAGTGACAAAGAAGCTCTCGACGACAAGGACGAAGACAAGGAGCTTATTTACGAGGATGGCAGTGACTTGAAAGAGGATAAGGAAGAAGACACTGACGTTATTGCCGTGACCTCGTCTATCGCCGCAGTGGACGACAAAGCGGCCTGGCTTATTGGTTTGTATCTATGGACTAGATGCATCATGTAGGACAAGTTTATCGTGAATTTGTTTGTGTGTATCCGAGAAATGACTTAAACACGTTTACCGCTAATTGGGCCATATGTGTACCACGAAATGTATTTCTTCAGGACGTAGTGGTGCATAATTCAGGGTGGCCAGCTGGCCTAAAATACGGTCAAGTCCGCGAACCTAAAACGCCAAAAAAGGTCTATAACTCAATATATACTAGTATATTTTTAGGTTCCGGTGTAAAAATTTCATTTCCCTCTTATTTAAATTTAACTAAAAAGTACCCCTATCATAAATTTTAGCGGGCCAACGCAATTGACAAAAAACTAAATCGCGGAATTTGTCCGAAAAAAAGACTCTGGCAATCTTGTTTCATAATAGTACAACAAATTAAATAATGGTAAGAGAAGAAGCAATCGCAGTCAAAGTGTTAAATTGTAAATCTGCGTGTATTTATTTGGCCGGTCGATGTATATCTGCTGCATCAATTTTGGTTGTAAATTGTTAACATCTGTGAATTTTTTGTTGTTGCTAGATTGGCCGATTTGTTATGAGGCACAGATCACTGGGTATTGTACACTATTATTTGAGTTAGGTGCGGGTGCAGCTAGAGGATAAAATGTTCATGAGGTGAATAATTGAGTTGAATTTCTTCTTAGTGTAAAACCGCCGGTATATTATTTGTATTTATTTATTTATACCCAGGCATTTTTTTTGGTCTCAAATCTTCGGTCAATGGTTTAGCTTCAGGCTTTTAAACAAGTTGAAATATGTGTACGTAGATTTTTTAGATGATGATTTCACCCGCTTTCTAATAACAGGTCTCACTTCAACATTCCTTCACATCCATCCTAAAGGCGCCTCGGTTGATTATATCTGGTCTTACATTCAGCAGTTCGACAAGGAAATCAAACCTGCCGACGTCGAGAGCATGCTTAACCAGTAAGTTCGAATAGTCTTCGAATAAATCGTTGATTCAATTTCTTGAATTCTCAGGAAAAATATAATTTTTAATTCTTTACCTGGAAATACAACGCTTGCTAACCGGTACGTTGCTAAAGAGTCATCAAGTGTATCACTCAATTATAGTTTTTACTGTAACAGTTGCTTCCTAGGCTTTTGTTTTTAAATGAAAACACTGAAAACGACTACATTCAATTATATTTCTACCCCCAACCGTGGTACCCGGAACAGCTTTTAGCAAGTGTAGGATTGCTATAGTTAAAGCGGCAAGTTATCTGATAGACTAATTACCGTTTGTTTGACCCACAAGGTCCCGACCGTATAGAAGAGCCAAAATTAAAGCTGCAATTTAAGTGTAATTGATATGCGATCTATGATAACGTATAGTGTTATCACTGTTGGGTTTATCCTGCAGGTTCCCGACCGTATACAAGCAGATCACGACGGGCGTCGGCGCCTGTCTTGAGCGCAAGTGGATCTTCACAGGCCTGCGTGGTGACAAGACTGACCAGTTTGCCTGGTGAACCGGTTTCTCTTGATAATTTATTTCAATTCGAATATCACCACGTGGATGAACTTCTTATTTTTCTGTTCGACTCTGAGTAGCATTTAACAGTGAACTATCAGCGTTCACAGTAAGCCACTAGCCACTGATAAGATCGTGTGAATGAAGGAAGGGTTAGAATGCATAACGTGTAATTTGTCTGTATGAATTTGCCGGTAAATTGCACTAATCCCTGTGTTCGGTAACCGAACTGAGTTCAGTCAAATTGGCTGCTCGTTGGTATCTACTGTAGGTTTTTCACCTGATTGGGCGCAATTTACAGCTATTCACTTTGTGCTTTTAATGCAGAATTCAGACCAGATTGAATATTCAGATTTTTTCATGTGCATTGTTCATTTCTTAACCTTGTGGAATCTGTTGAAAAAATTCTCCTCGAATTGATAACTTGAGATATATAGATAGATAACTTGATAATTCTCCTCGAATCGATCAATCAGATAACTGTTTTTTCACTCGTCACTATATAACTTAGCTGAAAGTTCAGGCATTTTACCTGAAATCCTTTTTAGATTTGCAAATTGAATTACTTTCTTTCAGCTGCACGATTATTATCGAGACATGCATTTAAGAGGCAATTTTAGGGCTTAGTTCTAACTGCTCTAGGAGTTTGAGCAATGATAAGTATTACTAAGCCTTTTAGGAATTTTGTGGCTTCACAGATGGATATGAAATGAAGTTAGGAAAGAAAAACTCGTTGCATGCTTTGAAGGTGAACGAATCTAGTCCAAAATGGTAAAAAGTGTATTTGAGCTCTAAGAAAAATTTACCCTTGGGTATATGTTACCGAAAAAGAACTTTGCAACAGTTATGTTATTTCAGAGGAAAATATCCTGCAATTGACAGGACGCAATTACGCAACTGATGGTCACTATTAATTGGTGAATTAATAGTGAAAACTAGTTTGTAACATCGTGTTACGATTCATGAAAGTGTTACTAGTACATTAGATACTTTCTTGTTTTCTTATTCTTCTAATGCACTTTTTTCTTGTCTATTCGAATTGCATACAGAAAATTTCTCGACTAGGTACTTCTTTTTTTGAGTAAGCTTTATGATCAGTAGGCATTCCTTTTAAGTTGCCTGCGGTTTGCAGAAAAGAGTACGTATTTTTGCACATCCAAACTTTTTTTTTGAAATTTGCTTGGTAAAGAAATTTTACTTGCAAGCAAGAAGAATCTGTTCAATTATGTAAGTTAATTTAGTTAACATAGAGCTTGACAAGATCTTTCAAATATAACTTCACTAGGTACTCTTGCAGTCGTGATGTTCTTTTGAAATATTGTAAAATTTAAGTACCTAGTTAATTTTGATGTTCAAAATTCATTAATCCCAACTGTTTTATTCCGATCTCAAGCGTCCTACGTAAAGAATTATGTAATTGGAAACTTACTTTACCTTAGATCGAATAATATACTGTAGATACTACACCTCCTACCGCTGAACACTCCCCATTGTACACTAACGGAATTAATTCGTGACCTATTAGAGCAGAAATATTAATAATATTTGACTGCCTTGGGCCGTTTCGTCAATTAACCATGTCAATTCCCTGTTGTTGTGAAATGTGGACAAATGTTAAGTTCTTACGTTTGCTACGATGTCATTTCTGCATGTAAACCATGAATTGAATGGACAACTTTTGAAATTAACGCTATTGATCAATTCTGTCGAGAAATATGTTCATATTACGAGTAAATGCATAATAGAATTCATGGATAAACCTACGTTTCAAAAGTAAAATATGCCTAGTAAATGGCTCAAATAATGTCGTTCTAGAAGGAACTTTACTTTTTTTCCATAACCATTAACCATAGGATACAAAAAAGCTGGGCAACGTTACACTTTTTTGTACAGAAAAACGTGACAACGTTGGTAACACTCATGTGTTAAAATAATTTTAGCTGATTGAGCATGCCGCTGCTGTCACAAAAAGCATAACGGAATGTTTCAACATGCAAAACTCCAATCGGCCAACAAGCATATAAATTAATGCTGCTAATTCTGAAATTAATCAGCAATATTCTCCGGTTTCCTTGCTAAAACTTCCTACGAAAATGCCCGTTGCCGTTCCTTTCATAAGCCTAATCACAGATCATCGGCACATATTTTTTATCGCCTAACTAACCTAATAATAGTAGAAGCTACCCAATACCCTAACTTAATGGCAGGTTTATAGCACGGGGTGCAACTAAAGCAAAACGTTGCTCTATCTAGAAAAAGCACCTGAGTAAATGCCGCGCAGCTCCGTCTGACTACAAGGCGCTACTTCTGACTACAAGGCGCACATGGAACACGGATGCAACTATGACAAAAAACTTGCATCATCCAAGCCAGAAATTACAATCTAGAGAAGATGCATATGCAGTGTAATGGATCACAGATACTAGCGAACAAATATATGTCATGTTCATCAGTGAAATCTACGGATGGTAAACAGCAGGATGATTCACATGGAAGCATGAATGTAGAAAACTTTCACTTGCAGGTAGGGGACTTCTGCAACAGCTAGACATTTGTAATTTCATTCAAATCAAGACAGGCAATCTACTGTCTGATTATCTAAATGATCGAGCGATCATTTAAAAAGAAATTTCCCGAATAATGAGTTGAGAAGTCCCCACCCTTACGACAGATCGATGAGTTTCTTTCAACCTTGATAATCCTACTCTGCAACAGGTCAATTTTACATCATGAAACTAGTTTTAAAGGGGAAATATTGCAAGTTGGAAGTTGCTTTCATCGCTGAATTGTTGTTAACTTCTCCAAGAAGCGAGGGCGAACAACACTTGTATTATTAGTGGACACCGAACACGTCAACATTGTAGACCTTCAAAGAAGACCCGAGTTATCATTGAAAATGATAGAATGTCATGCGCCGTATAAGTTATCACAAATACATTTCTACCGTTTCGCATACAATCCTTGATAAAACTATCAAGGCGACTCTAGGATAATATAAATAAGTGACAGTGAAGACCTCCACAACCTTTTCCTTGATCATGCTCTCTTCACTTCAACATTAGTTACTTCACACTAGTTTACTCCACGGGCGTAAATGAAGCCAGAAACTAGGTAGGTCATGACCAGCAATGGACACACTCTACAGGTAGTGTAGGTCGGGGTTGTAGTAGTGGTAGTTGTAGTGCGGCTGAAGAGGGTCTTCGAGTGTCTTGGCAGTCTCGACAGCGTCTGAGTTGCGAGGTTTGGTCACCGGCAAGTTGTTTTTAAGACAGTAGTCTTCCCAACCGCCGTAATAGTGACGAGACCTGAAATATAATAGTTTGTTAATGCAATTTCTCCAGTTACAGACAAATATTTCCGTAACTAGGCAAATAATTAACTTCAAGACTTGGGAATCGCTTACGAACGGCGAAGTAATTAACGCCGGTTTCGCCTTCACGTTGTAATTTATACAGTTGGACCGCTCAAGTTGTTGTAAAGCAAGGATGAATGGACCAATAATAACGGATGGATGGTTTGCGTGAAAATTTTCACATTCATTTTGTAAAATTGGAAATATTTTTAAAACAATAGCATGGGCTGTTTGGCAGTGAATCCCTAGCTCCTGCATAAAAAGGACAACTTTTTTGTCCTCAGTTAATATATTACAGCTGTTTTAATCGTAGACAAACATTCATAATACTACATTGTAAAACGAATTATTAGCAATAACAAAAAAAAAAACGCACCGAAGCGTATAACCCAATGTTTTATAAAAATCCCCTCCAAATAATCATACAAGCTAGTCGCTCTCTCCTCACTGCATAATATAGTCATGACTGAAATAAACTATCATGTTCACTACCCACGAAAAGCTCTCACTTGGTGTATCCAAGCTTGTGCGCCGTCTCGACAGCAGCACTGCTGGCGATGGGACCACGGGCGTAGAAGATGATCGCTTTGTTGTGTTTCGCGGGCTTCGGAACGCCGTACTTCTGCTGCCACTCTTCGCTGCTCAGCTGAAACGCCTCACGCAAGTTACCAACTGCAAAGAAAATTCTGAGTTAATACATATAAGAATGTTAGACAATTGTGACAAAAAGCTGCACAATCCAACTGCAAAAAAAATTCCAAGTTCATACCTGTAAGGGAAAATGAATAAAAAGAAGCTGCACAATAAACCTAAGATGTAGTAGAGAGAAAATGTGAAATCGACATCTTTGAGTTACATTCACGAATGCTTGGCATATGGCGATCATTGATTAAGATGTTATTACTAAATCATCCGTAAATTACACGGCTTAAAAAAAATTTTTTCATAGAAAATTTCCAGTTTTTTATAAGTACAGACGAGACTGACGGAAGATTCTTAAATGAAGTTTGAGGTTAAGAACAGTACGGTAGGTTGGCCACTTCAAGTCCAAAGTCCGAATGCAAAACTTATGTGGCGAAATCCCAGTGCAAAAAGTGGGACCAGACAAGACAGGCAGAGCGAAGACGTGTAGGCTACCGTCAGGCAGCCAAACTTGGATAATAAGGTATTGGCATTGAGCAACGGCCTTCCTATTGGTCGCTTCAATCCCCGCCTTCAGATGCACGTCAGTTATTGGTCTGCCGCAACGGCGCCGAAGCATGCACCAAAGCAGATGACCTTCAAGTTGTATGCTTGGCTCTAAGTGTCATTTTATCTCTTCAAAACGATTAAGCAGCAACGAAACCAAGATAACACGTGAACACATGCAACAAGTATAAACAGGTCGAGATAATGCATTTGACAGCAAGATTGCACGACTTACGTTGACGATTGTAAGGAAAATTTACTCATTCGAATGCAATTTGATGGGCAAATTTTACGGTTATTAGTTTCATGATTAAATTGTGATTACGCACCAATAAACTAAGGCAAATATCCAAGACGTTAGCAGCAAAGAGGTAAGGAATTCATCCATTTTCATGCTGATTTAGACGGAAATTTTCGAGAAAAATGTTGGTAAAGACGTTTTGATTTGCCTACATACACTATGCTGGTGAAAAAAAGCACATGCAAACTACTTAAAAAGAGATGATTCCACAAAAATTAGTTTATGCGCATTAGCATCCGTTTCTATAGAAAAATGTTCATCGATAAGCCCAAAGATCTAAAACTCAGAAGCAAGTGCACGATTGATTGATCATAACCAAAAACAAAAAATTACAGTCGACTTATCCTCTTGACTAATTGAGAGTAGATAAACCAGTAAGTATAACAGATAAAACAAGTTGTTATTCAACATCAAACAAGATTGTGTGCATCTTCTTTCAAACTGCTTCGTCATCCCGTAACTACGAAGCAATTCTGTTCAGCAGACTTCATATGACTCGACACACAGCAGCGTCCCGCTGTCACTTGACGCGGTGTATATAGGCGCCCTAGCAGCGTTGCTTGCCAAGAATTTAGCTAAGTTTGTTTGAACGCGAACAAACGAAAGTCGGCTGATACTGCGTTGTAGGGCCTAAGCTCGCATTGCTGAACGCAATCAATTCATGAACATCTCGTGACTTTGAACCAAGACATTCGTAGTTTTCATCTTTCTTACTGGAGTAGTGACATATGTATTGTTCTTAAAACGATAGCGATTACGTGGAATCGCACAATCGGAAGCTGAAATTAATCGCGGTTCAGTGCATATCACGTTATAATCTCTATGAATCAGTCATATCACATCAAACGTCAGCAGCTTCAAACGGGTAGCTATGAAGACCGAAAAATTTCTCCTTGACATCTCAGACTTGTCAAGCTTATATGCGCAGTGGACATCGCATATTATATTATGATTAATCTCTATGAATAAGTCGTGTGACATCAAACGCAAGTAACTTTAAATGAGTAGCCATAAACACCGACATATTTCCCCTAGACATATCAGCCATGCTAAAAATATCGTGGCCGTGTTCCCGCCGTTATTGATGACTAACGCGCGGAAGGGAGTGTGATACGCAAGTGGCCTTGATGCAACGGTAGTTAGGCGTAGACGTGATGCCTCATTACACAGCTCAGGCCAGGAATAACAAACAGGTATTTTTTTATCAAGAAAATATGAGTGATATTAGGTATCTTATTTATCGTAATTTACAACATTGGACCTATTTCCTTTCTAAATCATTAGTACTACCTATCATTTGAAAGTTTCAAATTGATACTCGTTTCAAATTGAAACGAGTAGGTATCAATTTCCTTCGAGAAAACGGATATGTACGTCATGTCATTATATACCAGACGAACGGGAAAGAACTACAGAGAAAATGACCGATGACAATCCTAATGTTTTGAGTGATGACATCCAGAGAAGTTGTCGCAAGCAGCTGCAAGCATTGCACTAACCAAAACATATGTTACGCCAAGAGTAATGAACTGCTTCATCCTCAAACAAAACCACAATACATGACGCTCCTTCCATTTAAAAGAAAAACGCAAGCACAGAAAATTGCATGTGCTGTAAACTTAGAATATCTACGTAGCTGGCAAACTTTAACGGAATTTTATAAGGAACTAAATGTTTTGTCTATACATTGACTGCTAAATTTATTCAATTTTCTTTAATGAAAGATAGAAAGAAGATCTATGAAAATGTGCCGCGAACAATCATGAAGAAAACACGAACCGAAAATGTAAACAAAACCTCAAATGAACAGCATGAATGTTTAAAAAGGAAAGAAAAAATACATGAATACTGAAATGAATACAAAATTACACGGGACAGCCATAATACAAGTGAAGCATCCATAAACAAGAAAAAACGTGGCTCTTGAAGAATTAATTCATCACAATGGATTTAAACTGATTTTTCATACAGCCACAAGAATACTTGTGAAGTACGCAAGATTGAATGCATATGTTATTTGTAGTCATTTACAAGGTAACTATAAACTAATTAAAATGGTGCCTGTGTGAAATACCGCTACTCACGAGGGATGTGAAGGGATACGAGCTCAGCCGCTTATTTAAGCGTATTATAAATTAAACTACTTGTATAAACTAATTAAAATGGTGCCTGTATGAAATAACGCTACTCACGATGGATGTGAAGGGATACGAGCTCCGCCGCTTATTTATGCGTATTATAAATTAAACTATTAACTAATTAAAATGGTGCCTGTACGAATTCTCGCTACTCACGAGGGATATGAAGGAAATACCGCTACCCACGAGGGATGTGAAGGAAATACCGCTACTCACGAGGGATGTGAAGGAAATACCGCTACTCACATGGAATGCATGCCTGCACCTTATTGCATGGATTGCTTAGTGCCCCAGACCATAATCCACGTCCTCTGTGAGTGCCCATCATTTGGTGTGGCCCGATGGCAATTTTTCCCCCATCTAAGCCAAAACGACCCCGACACACACCTAAAAAGTATTTTGGCCCAACCAGAACACGGTAGCTATAATGTTGATCGCCTCGTAGAGTACCTGAGAGCAATAAACATGTTCGACTGTATATGATCTGCTCAACGCTGAATACATGTGATGCAATATGTTAAAGCGCAACATTCCTAGTTACTTCTAAGCCGACGAGCACAGACAAATATTACCTGTACGGACTCGATTAGAAACGATCTGTCTGTCAGCTGAATAGTTTAAGTATGCCGATCCTCCAGTAATTTGGTAAGACTTGATTATTAGCTGTATAATTAGTTTGATTTACTGATGAATATGAATTTTGTCATTATCTTTGTTACTTTCTATTATCTGTTTTTTTTGTATTGATTTTCAGAAACCGGTTAAAAACTATCACGAAACCGCGTGTCAGTTACTGTCCTCCACGATTCTTAAAGATCTGCTAGAAGGATCTTTACACAATATGTTCTTAGCCCATAATGCCCAACGTGACATTCGGCGCGAGATAGCTTAGCAGCTGAAGCGCTAGTAATCATAGGGTCACTAAACTAACTAACTAACTTAAGGTTGAATATTACATTAAAATATATTCTCCTTCAGTATTTATGTGAATTGCTCATCACAGGTTACCGCATGCGTATCGACAACAGCACTGATTCTGCCAACACTGGGCGCCTCCACGTTGACTACGCCCAGGCTCGAGATGATTTGTGAGTTGAAACTTGAATTTGTTAATGACATTTGATAAAAACTTGACTGTAACTCGCAAGAAGACGCGGTTTTCTTTGTTTGGTAATGATTTTAGATGAAAAGTTGACGGCAACTGGCGGAACATGCTCCGTTTCTGGTGATCATCACGCGTCTAGAAAATCTTTTTATTTAGATACAATAGCAAACAAATTTTGTTTGGTTAACGAGTGAGTTTAATTTTTTAATTATCACTTATGATTGAAATGATTGGATAAGGTTTGACCGAACAAAAAATCTATATTCAAATTGAAAATGTCATTTCAATGGGCAATAGTTAGCAAGTGATGTCTGTTACTTCGGCGCTGCTCGTGTAAATTATATGTTAAAACTTTGAAAGATAGCACAAAATTATTTATTATATGTATATTGTATTATAAAAGATAGCTCAAAAAACGTGCAAAAGAAGATTCAGTACCGTCCAGAATGTGCTGCGGGAGTGGAGGTACAAGAGAGTTACTACATTGTCCCTATTATTTATTTATACATAAATAATAACGTTGGTGTGTTGTCCAAATATGAGTGGGAGTGTTCATCTTATCTCTATTACTCATAGATAATTACATTGATGTGTTGTATAGGTACAAATGGGAGTGTTACCTCATCTCTATTATTCATAGATATTTACATCGATCTGTGTTGTATAGGTACAAGTGGGAGTGTTAACCTTATCTCTATAATATTCATAGATAATCACATTGATGTGTTGTATAGGTACGAGTGGGAGTGTTCACCTTATCTCTATTACCGTACTCATAGATAATAACATTAATGTGTTGTATAGGTACGAGTGGGAGTGTTCACCTTAACTCTATTATACATAATCACATTGATGTGTTGTATAGGTACGAGTGGGAGTGTTCACCTTATCTCTATTATTCATAGATAATAACATTGATGTGTTGTATAGGTACGAGTGGGAGTGCCGTCAGCGCGCCCTGCAGCGGGAGCAGCGACACAGAGAGCGCGTTGAGGCTGAGCGACTGCGGCCACCTTCACCTCCCCCGGTGCCGCACTACACCGAGCACGAGGCTACCATCGTCGCTGAGCACCTCAAAGGCGAAGATGGTTCGTGTGATGAGAATAGGGCTGGACCCAAGGGCAGGGACATGCTTTAACAATACTCATGCTTCTAGAATCTGTTGCACTAGGCTGTATTATGCTGAATATTTTTGAAAGTGTATGTACTATTTGGTGTATTTGGGCTACTACATGTACTGATGTGTGTCTTGAAAGTAAGTTATTCTTTCAGGTAGAGTTGTGTTTAAATACAATATTTATGTTAGTAAACTGGTTAGAATGCACCAGACAACTTTCTTGGTTGAGATGAGTTTCTTCCGCTGCAACGTCTCGTGCTGATAGCCTTAGTCCTCCAATGCAATAGCCTTGAGATTCATTTGATTTTTCGTTTAGTGTCTAGCATGATCAAATAAATTTTAAACAGAGTCAACATATTTTGTGTTGATTGTGTGATATGAGGGTTGTGGTGCAAATTTGATTGGCTGAATCCACAGACAATGTATTGCACACCTTCACTTAAACATCACATCCACAGGGTACCTATAATTTTGCGAATAAAGCAAAGTATTTGACAGCAATATTGAGAATTTACGTACCAGTTTACACATAGAGCAGCATTCATTTCCAGTCTTTATTGATGCAGGAATTACAATTAATTCATGCTACCAAATAATTGGCGCATTGTGAAGAAGTTTCCAATTAGCAGGATTTTTCTTATGTCAAATCAACTATCTGAACAAAATACACCAAATTTGTTTCCAAAATACATAATGCCACTAGTAAATTATTTCAAAATTTATGCATTGATAATTGATTTATATTGACTAAATTCTTGTTCTACATTTATTACAGTTATAAAGTTCATAGTTATACTGCATAAGGTAATACCTCAGTTCCATAAAAAACTTTCTAAGTATAGGTACATATGCATAATGCATACCTATATTACATATACATTATTATACATTGCATTCTTTTGAATCATTTGAATCATAAGTTATGATGCCTTGTGTCTTGTGATGCCATCAATACTCTCAATATACTGCATATTACTCAAAAAGTCAAAAAATAATGGCTAATAGGCCATTACTATTAGTATTTACTATTTAGCATTACTGTAACTGTAGCACAATGTTTTTGGTGCTTAAAAATATTTCTCACACTAGATTATAAAGCACATTTGTCCAATAACAAATATTATCCTCAAACTGAACCAAATTATGTGACTTTAGTGCCTCTTTATTTCAAATTGGCCTTATTATTATATGGTACCGTAAAATGGGGTAACTTAGACCGGCGGGGTAACTTAGACCACTTTTCGTTTTTTTTACAAAAACCCCCACAACTCGAAAACTATTTGACATAGAAAAATTTTGTCAATGGGCATTAAAGGCCTAATACTGAGGCTACATAACACAATAGAAAGATTTGAAAAGNTGTGGCGAAATCCCAGTGCAAAAAGTGGGACCAGACAAGACAGGCAGAGCGAAGACGTGTAGGCTACCGTCAGGCAGCCAAACTTGGATAATAAGGTATTGGCATTGAGCAACGGCCTTCCTATTGGTCGCTTCAATCCCCGCCTTCAGATGCACGTCAGTTATTGGTCTGCCGCAACGGCGCCGAAGCATGCACCAAAGCAGATGACCTTCAAGTTGTATGCTTGGCTCTAAGTGTCATTTTATCTCTTCAAAACGATTAAGCAGCAACGAAACCAAGATAACACGTGAACACATGCAACAAGTATAAACAGGTCGAGATAATGCATTTGACAGCAAGATTGCACGACTTACGTTGACGATTGTAAGGAAAATTTACTCATTCGAATGCAATTTGATGGGCAAATTTTACGGTTATTAGTTTCATGATTAAATTGTGATTACGCACTAATAAACTAAGGCAAATATCCAAGACGTTAACAGCAAAGAGGTACGGAATTCATCCATTTTCATGCTGATTTAGACGGAAATTTTCGAGAAAAATGTTGGTAAAGACGTTTTGATTTGCCTACATACACTATGCTGGTGAAAAAAAGCACATGCAAACTACTTAAAAAGAGATGATTCCACAAAAATTAGTTTATGCGCATTAGCATCCGTTTCTATAGAAAAATGTTCATCGATAAGCCCAAAGATCTAAAACTCAGAAGCAAGTGCACGATTGATTGATCATAACCAAAAACAAAAAATTACAGTCGACTTATCCTCTTGACTAATTGAGAGTAGATAAACCAGTAAGTATAACAGATAAAACAAGTTGTTATTCAGCATCAAACAAGATTGTGTGCATCTTCTTTCAAACTGCTTCGTCATCCCGTAACTACGAAGCAATTCTGTTCAGGGAGACTTCATATGACTCGACACACAGCAGCGTCCCGCTGTCACTTGACGCGGTGTAGGTGCCCTAGCAGCGTTGCTTGCCAAGAATTTAGCTAAGTTTGTTTGAACGCGAACAAACGAAAGTCAAATGATACTGCGTTGTAGGACCTAAGCTCGCATTGTTGAACGCAATAAATTCATGAATATCTCGTGACTTTGAACAAAGACATTCGTAGTTTTCGTCTTTCTTACAGAAGTAGTGACATATGTATTGTTAAAGCGATAGCGATTAGGCGTAATCACACAATGGGAAGCTAAAGTACAAGAAATTAATCGCACTTCAGTGCATATCACGTTATAATCTCTATGAATCAGTCATATTACATCAAACGTCAGCAAGCCATGAAGACCGGAAAATGTCTCCCTTGACATCTCAGAGTTGCCAGCCAATTTTATCGGCGCAGTGGACATCGCATTTTATGTTATGATTAATATCTATGAATAAGTCATGTGACATCAAAAGTAAGCCGCTTTAAATGAGTAGCCATATACACCGAAACATTTGCCCTAGACATATCAGACATGCTAAAAATATCATGGCTGTGTTCCCGCCGTTATTGACGACTTCAGCACGGAAGGGAGTGTGATACGCAAGTGGCCTTGATACAACGGTAGTTAGGCGTAGACGTGATGCTTCATTACACAGAAGCTCAGATCGGGAGTTTTCATTAATAACAAACAGGAAATTTTTATCAAGAACATATATGAGTGGTAATAGTTATCTTATTTTTTGTAATTTACAACATTGGACCTATTTCATTTCTAAATCACTACTACCTTTTATTGGAAAAGAGTATCAATTTGCTTCGAGAAAACGGATACGTCATGTCATTAAATACTAGACCAACGGGAAAGAACGTCAGAGAAAATGACCAATGACACTCATGTTTTAAGTGACGACATCCAGAGAACTTGTCGCAAGCAGAGCTCTGCAAGCATTGCACTAACCAAAACATATGTTACGCTATGAGTAATGAACTACTTTATCCTCAAACAAACCACAATACATGACGCTCCTTCCATTTAAAGAAAAACGAAAGCACAGAAAATTGCATGTGTTTAAAACTTACAATATCTACTTAGCTCGCAACCTATAATGGAATTTTATGAGGAACTAAATCTTTTGTCTACATAATTGACTGCAAAAATTTGTTCAATTTTCCTTAATAAAAGATAGAAAGAGGATCTATGAAAATGTGCGGCCAACAATCATGAGAAAACACGAACCGAAAATTCAAACAAAAAACTCGAATGAACAGCATGAATGGTTAGAAGGAAAGACGCGTAAATTTCGCAAAAATATTCATGCAAGCCTGTGAGTCGTTTAACATGCAGCAACAGCGTGAACCAAAGAGCATCATTTGACATTAAAATCTTGATTATCAAACAAGCACTTGCCTGTTACTGACACTCGAGACACACGCACATCATACGAGGTGAGAGAGAAGCAGGTAGCATGGATCTTCCTGAAAGCTTCTTTTAAACTTTATGAACTGAGATAGCAGTGCTCTTTCATTTAAATTTGTTTTGGTGATTTTCGATCGATTTGAGCTCCAGAATGATCTTGGAATTCGCTTCTAAAGTAAAGAGAACGACACAGTCTCGTTTTCTCGGTATATTTATTATCTTATGAGCCAAAGATAGAATTAATAAAATATTTTACGAAGGCTTCTCTCCTAAAACAAACCCAAAATGAAAATTGATTTTGGAATCCAAACCTAGAGTTTTTTACTTAAACTCTTTCGATAAAAAGATTTAGAATAGTACTAGATAACTCAACTTCCACGAAATCGAGAAGGGAACTTTTAAAAAATAAATAAGTAAATAATAAATTACCTCGAGTTTCAGGTCTATTTAGGTTAGTTTATACAAAGGTATCAGGAACAGCACAATTATGGACAGACGATGCGCCGTGGCGCCAACACGCTTAGAAAGTGGAACAAAACACAAGCCCCTCTTGAAGGTCATTGAGAACGAGCTACTTTTAAATGCCTGAAACGCTGCATACTTCGAACATGATTAAGAAGACGGAAATTGCGTCGTAGAAAGATAACATCGCGAAGCAACTGCTACTCAAGACTATATTGAATTACTCAAATTTTCCATTGCATATTAAAAATACATGAATACTGAAATGAATACAAAATTACACGGTGAAGCGTCCAAGCGTCCATATACAAGTGAAGCGTCCATAAACAAGCAACAAAAAGCGTGGTTCTTGGAGAATTAATAAATCACTATTGATTCAAATTGATTATTCATAGTCACGTGAATACCTGCAAAGTACGCAAGATTGAATGCTTATGTTATTTTTTGTCATTTCAAATGTAACTATAAACTAATTCAAATTGTGGCTACATAAATACACGAGGGATGTGAAGGAAATACCGCTACTCACGAGGGATGTGAAGGAAATACCGCTACTCACGAGGGATATGAAGGAAATACCGCTACTCACGAGGGATATGAAGGAAATACCGCTACCCACGAAGAATATGAAGGAAATGCCGCTACTCACGAGGGATGTGTAGGGAGCCTGGGATCTGTTCCTGGGATACGAGCTCGGCAGGCTGGCGCACGTCGATGAGAGTAACGTCCTGCAGGCAGAGCATCAGTGACAGCTCCTGGAAGTCGACTTCCAGCCTGCGGTTGACGGGACGTTGCTGCTGCTGCTGGTGAGACGAGCCCAGGTTGCCGGCCACCGAGAACGCGCGACTGCCATGGCTTGCGGTGCCCGCCGCTGTTCGGAGTAGCGAATATTAATTAGTAAAGTTTACAAATACAGAATCACGAAGATGATACTGGCAAAAAACAGAATTGCTAAGAGGATAGTTGACAAAACAGAATCATTAAGAGGATATTGGCAAAAAAATACGAAGAGGATATTGACAAAAACAGAATAACGAAGAGGATATTAGCAAAGACAGAATTGCCAAGAGGATATTGACGAAAACAGAATTGCTAAGAGGATATTGACAAAAACAGAATTGCTAAGAGGATATTGACAAAAAACAATTGCTAAGAGGATATTGACAAAAACGGAATCGTTAAGAGGATATTGACAAACTAACAAAAAAACTGAGTTACCAAGAGGATATTGGCAAAAACAGAATTGCGAAGAGGAGGCAACTTTCTTTGATGAAAAGATGAGGATGGTGCGAATAAAATTATATGTAGAGCGTATGGCGATGGAAAAATCATCTTACGACATGAAAGGAGAGATGAAAATGTTAACCCAAAGGAAAATTAAAGACTTGAGAATATGAGGATGAAGGGTTAAAAAAGCTGCTAGTTTTCTCCGATACATCAAATTTATAATGAACAACCAGTGAACTTTCTCAATATTTGATAACAATCGCGCAAAATAGAAATCAGCGGCAACGCAAACTTGTTACAGACGTCATTCTCGAATGGCCTGTTTATAAACCGGCTCCTTACTATCTAAAATCGATCAAGTAATATATGACTGTGATTTTACGTCTTTGCTTGGTTGGATTAGCTTGAAAACCCGTCAATGATAGGCAGATACAGTAACGAACTCTTAACAATTTTTGAAAGTGCGGCTATTGTTCAATGAACTTGTAGCTACTTGAGGGTTTCAACTGGCAAGCCGACCAACTTTCGATCGTCAAGACTAAGACCGTCGCCAGAGGTAATGAACGTCAGCTGACTACAAAATTACCTCCGTGTCTCACTTCAGTTCAGCGCAGTTATCGAGTTATTCTTAGCACAGTTCGGTTTGCTGGAGAAAGAACACGGTTTTTGGGTTATAGTTAACTCTTGTTAACACAAGATACCTTAATGGCTAGCATCGTGATTGGGATTTTCGACTTTTCCACAAGTCTTTTAGATTACTGGCAAAATAATCCCATTTAATTTCGAATTTGGCGCTATGCAACCAGTATCGACTATTTTGAGAATGAAAGTTGATATTCAGCCAGCATATTTATCATCAAAAGTGAAGTTATCTATAAAGGAAGTTCTCGCAAACAGCTTTGGAGAGTTCGGCATTGTTATTGAACGTTTTCTACGCAAATGATCTAGAAGATGATTATTTCCTAGAATATTCAACACTTTAGTTGCCGTTTTAAAATTGTTTTTCACAACACTCAGTGACCAAAGGATTGTTGATATCAAGTCAAGTGATCATAACTCACCGGCAGACGAGATGCGAGGTATCTGCGATACGACTGATCGAATCATTTAAATTGACGATCAAACAACAATGAACGTGAAAGAAATTTCTCAACACTCGCGCGAAAATAGCGACAAAAAATCCAGTTCACTAGGATTCAAAACTTCATCGAATCAAACGAATTTCAGGCAAGAATTTTTCACACTCAGAATTTTTGTAAGAAATAATGGTAATTAAACGTCTGAAGAAGAGCAAGTGCAGCGGTCACTAGCACACAGTTACTCGCGGGGGAATGAAGGTAGCCCGTACGTCACACTCCTCTTATATGTACACGACGCTGTCTCGCCTTCTACTCACCACCCCTTCACACACACGCTCTTGTTAACGTACACATGCCTACATGCAGGAAGCTAAGCATCGAAAACGGAAGAGTTTAAAGCGCAAATAATCGTTGAATAAATGTATTAAAGCGGAAACTTCAGGATTAATTACCCTTCCAGTCACCAATTAAACTCGTATTAACGAAGTAGTATATCCTATCCATCAATAATATTAAATTCAGTGCGAAGACATTACTACTTCCAGCGTAAATATTAAATACTGCAAGATTTTAACGATCCAATGTTTAATACTCATGTGATGCACAGCAACCAAGCAACTACCATCAACAACAGAAACTTAGCCCTACTCTCAAGGTCATCAGGTGTAATTGGAGACGTAGGCGCTGTAAATCTATACAAGCCGATAATATTTCGGGCTGAAGATCTTTGAGACAGGAAAAACTATAAAATAATTCAACAGAAAAACTCGCTAATCAAACTTCAAATTAGGTTGTGATTATAATGATGAACTTGTCGATGGCTTTTGATATTAAAAAAAACACATGAACGTACTCAATAACTTCATAATACGTATATTGATAAGTAAATAGTTTTCAGTTTTTGTTCAAGCCCGATTTCGTTTCAGCGTTTCTCATTGAATTTCAAACATGATTGACACAACTACCAGCGGCGCAGTAGAATCAATATACGCCTCAATAAATCATGAACACGGTTCCTCGAAAAACCAACAGATTAAAGATAACTCAATAAACATGGCATCTACAATACGATAAACACTTTATCAACAAAGCGCACTTAGACCTAAACCAGATATGCGTATACAATGTAGAAAATCATCGATACTATAAACGCCTTGAATAGAATATGGATTCGGTGTTACTACTAGGCATTAGTATATCTATCATACAGTACTAATAATAGATATATTAATGCTACTAATAAAAATTATTCATTCCAAGGTATTATGGACAACATGTATACTAAACGCTTAAATAAATAGATCGAACGCTACCACGTTGTTAATGGAATAGATCTCACTATAATAAATATATATGCACAAAACTATCACTATGCAGATTAAGTTACGTCTGAAACCGGCTACCAGACGTATTAACGATACATCAGTAAAATTTATGTACGGCGAACCAAAACGTCGAAAAAACGCTAATTTGATGACGCACGCATGAGCACCTGAAGATACGCACATGGCGCCACACTGAGCACGCACACGTCGGGCGCTTGTGGCCGTTGTTCAGCACGCACGCATAAACATGAAGCATGCACTGGCGAAGAGCCAGTAAAACATTGCGCAGGTTAGGAGTTGCCGACACGGCGACTAGTTCGCAAAAAAATAAATATAATTCAATAAAAGCAAGGCACGTACATGAAACCAATGGCTATAAACGCATGGGCCAACATCTACAGATTAACGAAGGAACCATTGCGCATGCTCTTCGCTAGCTTATACGTTAATGGAAACCTTACAAACTGACGAAAAATTCTCGATTGTACTGGAAAACTATGTGAAAATAAATATTTCGATAGATTGCACTTAAGACCAAATGGAGAGCATGATCTAATGATTTACAGACTTCCAATCATCTATCTTAACTAATGAAAACATTGGCATCATAATAGCATGTTCAAATTATGAACTATGCTATTATAGCAAGCATAAAATACAATTTAAAATGATTTGATTAAATAGTCGTACATTGTATATTCTCTAGTGTAAGCACAATAACAAGGTTTATTCTACAGTGCGCTCCTCTTCATACAACGACAAAGAATAAGGGGCAGCTATTGAATTCAAATTTAATCCTAGCTTCAATGAACCATTAAGAAATAATTACACGAGTCTACTACGCAGTTGTGTAAAACCGAAACCCGTTCCCGGCAGTGCTTGTCGCGGCGAAGATGCCTCAGGCGCCTAGCCAAGTCAGGAGTCGCGAAAACATTTTGCAAAATATAATCTTTTCAAGACGTACGTTCCCATGGTTGAACTAGTATAAGTCAACCATGCACGTTCCAGGCATACATCGTTCTTTTTCTTTGTTATACAGGAAACTCAATACGTAGGATGATAAATTACAATGGCTTGTATTGTCATGAAATTAATCTATTGACAAATGGTTTGCAATAATGGATAATCTTGTCATTATAATCAGATGATTTACATAATTAACTGAGACAGGCCATTATATAGATATCGCTGCAGCTAATTATCATATATTGAAAAGAAAGTTTATGCCCATTCAAAACTTGAATGACGGGAGGTGAATAAGCCTCTGTGTAGGAAATTCTATAAGATAAAGCTGATAACAAGCTTAGCAAGACTATCAGTTTAAAGACCAATAAATGGGTTCTCCATGATGAAAAATTTTACAAATCAAGTGATATATGAGAGCAGGAAATATGAATAACAAAGCACAAAAACAAAATTGAGGCCACTCTACCACCTCAATAAATCTCAATGATGCCTAATATTTAAAAAAATATATAAAATAATAGTGTACCTATGTAGATATTCAATCAGCACTGAAATCTTATTTACATAACACTCAGAACATATATGAAGTATGAGCAAATTGCAAAGAAGCTAGTATTCAAAGTTGGCATAGATAAAGTGATGATATGAATTCTTAAAATGTTATGTGCATGAAACTCATTGACACATTTAGTAAACATGGAACCTTGTTTAGACATAGAGAAAGCTACAAAAAATGAGTTAATTCTTCATAATGATAACACATAAATTAAGACACATAGTTCAAAATTCTTTGCAAACAATTTGAGAACACTAAAAATACAATATTACTAGCATATGTATTTGTTTTACAGCAATTGCACATCTCCAGAAATGTTTTGTGCAATGTATTGCACACCTTTACTTAAACATCACATCCATGATTCACAGTGTAATTTTTGTGAGTAAAGCAAAGTATTTGACAGCAATATTGAGCATTTATGTACCAGTACACATATACAGCAGCACTCATTCTTTGTTGATGCAGGAATTACAATTACCGTAATTCATGCTACCAAATGATTGGCCTGATGGCCAGATTGGCCAGATGGTCAACTATCTGAACAAAATACAGAAAATTTATTTTCAAAATATTGTACATAGCTAGCAGCTTAGCTAATTCTTATAAGGCTATAAGTAGTCTTTAACTATTTGACTATTTGTTATATTTTGATTACAATATACAATTTAAATGTGTTAGCTAGCTTATACAGGGTGGGGCAGAATTGATTGAGCAGTTTTGAGGCAAAATAAAAGAGTAATGGAGGTAACATACCATTTAAAATACTTATGTTTTGAAAACAATATCAGGAAGATGGTGTCTGTTAGCTGCATCACACTGTTGGCGTCATTCTCAGACGTTTCCTACAGCACGTTCACACATATGGCGAGGTATGGCCATAACCTCTGCTGCAATATAATCTGTCCTCATAGCTGTGGTAGGGTGTGAGGGCAACTTCTGAACACCCTTTCTTTTAGATGTCCCCAAAGAAAGAAATTTCAAATGCTCAAATCAGGTGACCTCGAAGGCCACTGTAAATCAAAATCACCCCTCAGAGTCCAAGACATGCATTTCAAAACATTGAGTGACATTCAGGCTGTGTGAGCTGTATCCGCATCCTGCCGGAACCACATGTCTCCCAATGCTTCATTTTCAAAAACGTTTTCCATCCTGGGCTGCAAGAAATTTTGCAACATTGCAGCATAGCAATCAGAATTCACTGTCACGGTTACTCCCTCCTCCAAGAACAACTCCAACAGTGTGTTGCAGCTAACAGCCCCCATCTTCCAGATATTTTTCTCAAAACATAAGTATTCTAAATGGTATGCTATGCTAACCTCTACATAAACTTTCTTCTTTATGTACCTCCATTACTCTTTTATTTTGCCTCAAAACTGCTCAATCAGTACTGCCCCACCCTGTATATTGAGAGGTTGAGATTGGATTGACCTTTTTAGGCAATTAGAAAGATTTTTCACCCTAATACGAGTATTCTAATTAAAATATTTAATTTCAATCTTTAAATATGTGAATTTAAAACTAGAAACAAAACAATTACAATTATAAAACTATATATAAAATAATTAAATTCAGTGAATGGAAATAAAATGTTTGAATTATGCACATGTTTATTTCAAACAGTGTTAGCTTTTCTCTTAAGTCTCGTTTCAAGTCGTTTGAGGTTTGTTTGGTTATTGTTCAGTTTATGTTTAGTATTGGTTTATTGGTCTTAATTAAATTAGAACAGTGCAGTCAGTCACTCAGTCACTACTAGTTGGTGTGTTTAGAGTGTAGAGTCTGGTAGATTTATAGGACATAAAACTAGTAGATTTATTGATAGTGCTGTGCACTGTGCTATCAGCTACCAATCTCAGTCTCTGTTGTGTGACTCTTCAATGTTTAGAAGATCTGCATTCCTGAAGTGTTTTTGTATATTGAAGCCAGTTAAATGGTCAATATTTAGCTTGTTACTTTGCTCCATACAAACATTACAAAGCTAATGAATAGACTTATCAATAATTGTTTACCCAAAAATCCCGGTAATAATTTAGATTAAGTGCATCCAAAAAAAGGGTATTTTTTTAATTATATATTTTTTGGGGTGTAGATAAAGAATCTGAAATCCATTTTTGGTGGTCGGCATCAAAAAACCAATTTTCTTCGATTTTTATATATTTTCTATAGAAAACAATGGGGGACCCATGGGGAACTGGGGGTTTTAGGGGGAGGGGGAAACCTAACCTAACCTAGCACGATTTTTGGGTTTTACATAGGTTTACAGTCATTCCCAGATCGATATAGATCATTTCCAGTCAAAACAAATTTTCGGATTTTTTCCAATTTTTTGCCGATTTTGCCAATTTTTGCCTGATTTTTTTTTGACGAATTAGAGGTATGTCCCCCTCCCTAAAACCCCTGGGTCAGCCATTGTTG